TAGCACTTTATTTTATATTTTATCTTAACTGATTTAAGATGCTGTATTTCTGATATACTAAAACCTTATATTTTTAAGGTAAATGTTCTGGATTTTCTATTCTGTTCATTTGTTTTCTCTTTCTTATTTACATGGTCTTAATTATTAACCCTGATCCCATACAGTTTAGTTTGCCTTGCAGATTGGTATTAGAGTCAGCCATTCATACTAATAATGAATGTCCTTGGTTACAACAATCCCCATATTGTGTTACCACTCTTTCCACTACCTTTCAGGGGTTCTTTCCATTCATCACTCTATTTTCTACCTTTCTACCTTATGAGTTTTATCCTTGGACCAATGCTGCCTTGTGATCTTGGCTGGTTGAGTATTCTAAGTGCTGGGTTCTTTTAGGTATATTTATTGTTTGGCTGAAAATTGTGCCACAGCACAGAGTTCAGTTTCACGCTCAAAGGACAGTTAAGTATGACTATATTTTTTCACATCTAGTAGAGCAGGCTGGTTACCCCATAATTGCTCATCATTTTTTTGCCACAGCCACTTAACACTAAGCTTTTAAAGGAATTATTTTTTGGAGTTGGATAGATTTTTTTAGAACATTTGTTCCTGTTTTTTAAAATTGTGATTTTAATGAAAGTTTATAGAAAAGTTGGATTTTCATTCATTCGTGGTTGTACACCTTCCTCCCTACCTCATCAGTTCACTTTTTTAAAATAAAAAAAAAAATTTATTGTTGGATAATTTCCTCCCTCTTCCCTTTCTTAACCCCTTCCCCAGGTCACTTTGCTATGCACCTCTTATTCTGGACTGTTATCATACACAAATATTGCCTAATCATATGTTGTTGTTGTTGTTGTGATGTGCCGTCGAGTCGTTTGCGAATCATAGCGACCCTATGCACAACAGCCCTAAACCCTGCTCTATCCTGCGCTAACCGCATTGCCTCTGACACACCCATCCCGATTACCCCAGTCACCGAATCAATCCATCTCATAGAGGGTCTTTCCCCCCTGCGCTGTCCCTCCACCCTCCCAA